TTCACAATCTGAAAGAATAATGCCTATTTATAGATCCCTCAGAGCCATTCGCTTACATGACGGAAACTTGAAACCTTCAATACCAGTGACCCTTTCCGTTCAGCTAAAGAAAACCTACGAGAACATGAGGCTCCTTCTGAAGTTTAGTGGCTATTCGCAATACAAACAGAAAATCTTGGGTGATCTCAAGTTCTGGGTAGTCTAGAAATACAGACTAGTTACACCAAATATTGCTGTTTCTTATACCACAGGGATACTAGGGCAAGGAAAGAACATTATGTAGCAACAAAATGGAATTTAAGAGAAATTTTCAATCGTGGTGAACATCAGGGGCGTAGCGTCCATGGACGCGCTGAAAGCGCCGCTTCCCTTACAAATATCCCTTACGAATTGCCATCACAAATTTTTATATTTTAAATGAATTAGTCCGCTCATAAAACTAAACGAAATGTTGGAATTTCTATAGTGTGTACTCTGCGGGGCTTTCGTGTTCTCGTTTTTCATGCGTTTCTTCGTATTTCCCTCGCCCTGAAGATTATCAGAGGAGGCTAGACTATTATAGTTCGAATAGGGCGGACGGCGCGGGAAATTTTGTGTACCCTGTGCGAGGCTACAGGACGCGCAGCCCTTAGGAGACCTCCGTGGTTCAGATGAAAAAGTGTGTTTTGCTTGTCAAGGACTGTGATTGAAACGTGAATACTCAACTGTGAATAAAGCGTGAACCGAGCATCAAGGCACGTGTAAGTATCAGTGTTCATGAACAACTCCATTTTCTCATAATTTTGGATTCCTCCGTAACTGTTTGAACGTGTCCCTTACGTAGGTAATTGTAGGCAGACGGACGCGCTACGGGCCGTCGCTTCCACAGCGGTATCGAAAGGGCTGCGGTTGCAACCTGCCCCGTGACTTCGAACGGTGGTGATGGAGCATCGCCGTCTCTGGTGTGTGGATTTGCAATTGAACATTTAAAACAAAACGCATTTTCTAGCCTTTCTTTTGAGTAAAAATCAAAAATTGTTGCGACCGGAATACCTACACCAGAACTTCATATTGAGTGTTGTTCGAAAGGGAAGAAGAATTTCGTGCACAAATATACGAAAATGTTCCGTGGATAAGTGGGTGCAGAAACACAAATAAATTATTCTGTTGGCCATGTTTATTGTTTTCTAAAGAGAAATCTGTGTGGACGCAAGGAGGATTCGATGATCTTCACAATATTCACAAAGCACAGGCTCGCCATGAAACTTCGGTTTCTCACTTTCTATCCCTAAAAAATTTCAATCTGTTTGGAAAAAAGAAAATTGAATGCAGTCTGAGTGAGCAGTTTCGGTTGTCTGTCACAGCGTAGAAGTTAAAAAGAACTTAAATGTTGACTCATATTATCAGAGTGGTTTGTCTTCTAGGAAAACGGATTGGCGTTTCGCGGACACAATGAAACTCTCATAATCAACGAGTCTCATAATCGAAGCAACTATATTGAAATTCTGAAATGTTTGGGAAATTATAATCCTGAGCTCTTGGCTCTTATTGAAAGCAACAACGTGTTTCGTGGAACATCTCCTGACGTCCAGAATGATGTTTATCGCGGCAGTTGCGGAAGTTATGCACAGAGAAATTGAGAAGGAGATTTCTGAGACTCAATTTGTGGCATTTTATATTTGATGAAACGACTGATGTGACCATGAAATCACAACTCACAAGCGTGTTGCGGTATGTTTCAAAGAATGGAGATCAAAGAAAGATTCTTGCATTTGCAAACGACAGATCCGCATCTGGATTATTTGAACACGCAAAAGGCGTTATTAACACGTACAAGTGCGAAAACAAAAGTAATAGCGCAAACGAGTGACGGCGCAGCAGTTATGGCAGGGAACATGCTGGTCTTCAGGCAAAATTAAAGAAAATTTGTAAACAAGCAATATTTGTGTATTGTTATGCCCACAATTAAAATTTAGTCTAGGACAATTGCTAGCTGTATTAAGGAAGTGCGAATATTTTTCGCCTGTTTGTCAGGCTAGGGGCATTCTTTTCTAAATCCACTAGGCGGATTGAAGCTCTGAGCACTGTGGGTGAAAAAGCGATTACCTTCAGCTGCACCAACACGTTGGAATTTCACCAGCAGACTTGTACAAACTGTGAAAAATCAATTACAGTGATCTGCAGGAATTATTTGCTTCAGTGACAGAAAATTCAAGTGACTGGGACGCTGAAACTGTGTGCTCTGCTCGTGGCCATTTCAATACTTTGAAAGACTGACTTCCATTTTTTCTTGACTTTGTTTTCATGTATTTTTCCTCATTGTGACTCATTATTTAAAATTTTATAAAATAAGTCCAATGACATAATGCATTGCATGAAAAAGATCGAATATTTTGGGAAATAGCTAAAACAGTTTCGAGACACGTTTGATTGCTTTTGGAAAGATTGCAACAGAGAAAGTGGCGAATTTCAGTGCATCAAGCGAGCCAGGGTAGCAAATAGGGAGAATGAAAAGAACGTGTACAAGAGATTATTTTTAGAAGTTATAGACAATATGTCATGTATCTGATAGATTTTGTGATACATCTAAACTGAAATTCCTAAGCCTTCTTAACCCTGATTTTTATTTACGGTATCAATCGTCATTCCCCATTGAAGCTTTTAGTTGTCTAATGGACGTTTATGGAAGGCATTTTGACTGAGAAGTGAGCTCACTGCCATCTACTTCGATAGTGAGTGTCGATAAATTAAATTATTATATCAAGCAGAATGAACTAGAAGTCTTTCCCCAAACCTATAAACTGACCTTTCTGATTCTCACTATACCAGCTACAAGTGCGTCGGCGGAGAGGTCATTTTCTGCCCTACGGAGAGTAAAAAAACTACCCAATTTCACAAAGTGATGAAAGACTTTCTAGTTTGTCCTTACTGAAAATCGAGAGTCAGCTTTTAGACATGATAATGACAAGGCCATCGTTTTTTAATGATGTCATTGATGTATATGCCCGAAAACCAAGAAGAATTGAACTTCATTTTAAAATGTAATTGTTTAAAAATAAAAGTTAATCCATTACATCATCATTTTGATGTTTCTTTATGAAACATTCCAATATCACTCCGGTAAATTTAGAAACGTTATAAACGTGAATGAAGGAGAGAAATGATCCTGCGTCATTATTTAGGGATATTTTGTTCGTTAAGTTGTTTACATTTGAGAGTTATTTAGCATGCTTGGACTTTCTCATCTAATGTAAAGACGTTTTTGAGGGAAACTGTACCAAGTAATAAGGAATAGTAACAACCTACTCTTTAGTGAGGAAATTAGCATTGAGGGTTTCAGATTGTCCTGTTAGTAAGACTGAATGCAATGTGATGACAATGTGCCAGTCGAATTTTTCTAGTGCAACACATGAGGAAAGATCTATGTGTATTTGATAAACAATTTTTTTTTTGCCAAAACATATTTAAAATTCTGGATGAAACATCTCTCCAGGATGTCATCTCGACCAATTCCCTTGATAGATAAATGCGTATTTCTGTGTATTTCTTGTGCCGCTTTATTGACGAGTAAAACTAACTAAAACATTTCCAAATACAGAAAGAAAGATATTTATTTTCTGATAATACTGAGAATAAACATTTTTATGAAGAAATGTTCCATGTTCCATTAATAAGGAACTTTTAATTACAGAGTTCCTTGAATCTTCCGTGCACAACGTAAGTTGAATACAGAATATGGCGCTTCCCCTCTTAAAAAATCCACGCTACGCCCCTGGTGAAAATAATGCGTGGTATGAATCCCTTGTTGACAAAGACAGTGTGCCGTTACCACCGCTTCATCTGAAATTGGGCGTTATGAAGAATTTTGTGAAATCAATGAACGAAGATGTTCGGGAGTTTTAGTTTTTACTACCTAAATTATCTGCCATTACTACTGCAAAAATTCATGAAGGAATTTTCATTGGGACTCAAATCCGTGACTTGACGAAACCTATTATTACTCGCGCAACATTTTTTGAACGATGGATTGAAGAAATAAGGCGGGAGTATTAGTAACAAAATCGGCCACAAGATTTAATGAAGCAATGAGAATGTCTGGATACTTCAGTCATGGTCATGCCTTCGCAACGTTCTCAATAATTTGCGTTCTAACTTTCTCGGGAGTTCAAGGATCTCTCTGCGTTTGTAATTTCTTTAGATTATTTGGAGAAAATAACAAATAGAATTTCTCGCCTTCAAAAGAATTTTTTTTCTATTTCGAGCCAGTAAAGATGTGTTTGGAATGTCATCAGTGTTCGCTGCGAGCTTCTACCTTCAACTGTTTTTGTGCCAGAGAGGGGAAAGCAATGCCCTGGCAAAATCATCGTTCAAGAAAAGTTGCGCCTGTAATACCTTTCAACAGATGTAACAGAACGGAGAAGGCAGCATGGGCTTGCATTGCAACATGGATTACTAAAATATGTGACCATGTCTTGGGAAAATTAAGTCCGAGAATTACAGAGAACTGGCGGAACACATGCTAAACTGTTACAAGATTATTGGGGGGCAACTTGTCCCTTAAATTACATTTCCAACATTCCCATTGGATTTCTTTCCATCCACTTGTGGAGATGTGAGTGATGAACATGTTCGATTTCACCAAAAGATCGCTCCCATGGAAAGGCGATATAAGGGAAGATTGTCACCAAACCTTTTGGCAGATTACAGCTGGACACTCCTATAAAAGTATCACCATCAACACACAAACGAAAAGTTTCTAGGACAATTTTCTAACTTGTTTCAATGCTTTATTCAGCTTTCTAGTACTACTACTATTTTCGTTTTGTTCTGTAATACAAATCAATTTATATATAAATAAATATATAATACAAATAACGTAATTATAACTACAAACAATTTTTGTAATACAAATAATTTTTGTTATATGAGCTGTAGATTAATACACTACAGATTTCTCCTGCATTGTTATAGAGTTGTTTCCAAATTTCTCGAAAGTCATATATATGGCTTATCTTTTTCAGAAAAATTGGTATGCAATGGAACATTTTTGAATTCATTTTCGCAATCAGTGAATGATATTTGGACAGAAGACGTAATTTCATCTAGCGGCAAGACACAAAGTACAAATTTGTTGCACTGTGTTATTTGTGTTAGTTAAATTAAATTGTTTCTTTCAGAAACCAACTAAATGCCAAAAACATTTTTGGTGAAATACTTTTCTAAAAGAGCCCATACATCATTTTTTTAATAACAATTATTGAAATTTATTTCATCAAAAAAATTAAATTTATTTATTATTTATCAATTATCAATCAATTTATTAACAATAAAGGAATTGTTTTCTTCTAATAATTTGAATTAGTTAAAATTGGGGGTGGTACAATTTTACTGGAGTGGTAGTTTGTATTAATCCTACACAAAATAGATTAATTTGTAACAATTTTTCTGAATGTAAATAGTTTATTTCAAACAAGTAAATATTCAATCCCATCTATTTAACTTCATTCTTGAAAACACAAGTACATTATTATTTGAAATATGTGATAGTACAAAAAAGTTCAAATTATTAAGCTTTTCTAAAATCAAAATTTATATTTTATGGTTTATTTTATGCTAGTCTTAAAAATATATTTATTATTTGACATACTGTGAATAGTAATATTGAAGATTACAAATATTTGTAATACACAAGTCTACTACATAAAGAAAATTATATTGTTGTTATTATTATTATTATTATTATTATTATTATTATTATTATTATTATAGTTATTATAGTTATTATTATTATTATAGTTATAATATATTAATTATACTAGTATTACAATTATCATCACTATGTGCAATGCAGTGGTATTGTGATATTGAGGGAAACGAGTATATAAGAAAGACATTACAGCTCAGTGATCTGTGGTGCAGTAAATTTTATATTACAGCATTTCTATTATATTACAGGTGAGGTGGAGTGGTGTGAAAGATTGCACATTAATTTGTAAAGTTTGTAAATTTTGTAAAGTTGTTAGTGTATTCTGCCACCAAGTTCTCAAACTTAATTTTAGAATTAGTAATAAATGTGATTTCTTATATGTATTACATGATAAGGAAAGTTGACAGTTTTGTTCAATTTATGACTCTTGACTAAAAACTTAGTTACTATGTAACTATCAGAGAGAAAATCGCTCACAGCCCTTTTAAACTATTTTTTAAAGGCCCCTACAAGGACTGTTATGTTACTTAGATTGTAACCTAGTAAACATAGAAGTATTACAGCTTAGAGGGCATATGTCAATCAGTTGGAAATAATGAGACAGACTAATATTTTATTACAATGATTTAAATGAAAATACAAATTTACAATAAATTATAGTAAGTTTGAAAACTTACAAAATTGAAGGTTTTTTGAAAATTATTATGTCCTTCAGTACTACTACTTGATAATTTTTTCACATATGTCCAAAAGTTTCACTCACTTGTTATTCATCCACTCAATCTAATTCATGTCATGCATGATAATATTTCAATCTAATTGTTGTTCTAGAGTTGCATTCACAGAATATTTACAATTTAAGTACTTATTGAAAATTATGCTCTCATCTACACATTTAGACCTAAAACTTACTCTTATTCTTGTTCTTGGATCTTAAAACCATGAATTATTCTCGATTCTGTAGTTTCAGGAATATACCTCCCCAGTTTCTCAGTACCAGCTCAGCACTCAAAACCACTTCCTTCGAACCAGAGCTCAATTTAAAGTTTCTTAATACTTTACTTATTGTTGATTTCATTTCCATCATTGCAAATTTTTGACCTGAAACAATTGAAACCTAACCTGAACCATTGGGCATTTGCATAACAGCGAAGTGTGTTTTGATTCATAATTACTAGTTATATAAAGTTTCCTTTGTTAAAATGATATTTAAATGTACATGCAGGAATGGATCTACAGGAAGGGAGAGGGAATGAGGGAATTCTTCATCATTTCAGAGAAAGATCCAGAAAAAGTTATGTGTGGGAGTAGGACTGTTTTTCGGGATATTGAAATTAGTAGATTTAATATTAGTTACTCAACAGGGTGGCTACTCATTTACTGAAAGAAATCTTTCCTCAATTTTTCCTGGTTTTTCAGAACAGTTTTTTTTTATTTTTTAACTGATACGTTTCGTTGAAAATTTCACACTATTTTAAGAAAATAAAAAGGCAAGCCTGAAACTAATTTGTCAGCTCTCTAATTTCACCATGAAGTATAAATAAAAAAAATAAAAAAAACAAAACAGAAATCAAGTAAAAACAATGCTGTTCTATTGTTTTGGGAATAATATCTAGTTTTATAAACATCTCTAATTTTTTCCTAACTTCTAATGATTCTGCACATACACCCTAGTGTACGTGTTTTTTCGTGTTAGTGTACGTGTTTTTTTCGTGTTAGTGTACGTGTTTTTTCGTGTTAGTGTACGTGTTTTTTCGTGTTAGTGTACGTGTTTTTTTGTGTTAGTGTACGTGTTTTTTTGTGTTAGTGTACGTGTTTTCTTGTGTTAGTGTATGTGGTTTTTTGTGTTAGTGTATGTGGTTTTTTGTGTTAGTATATGTGTTTTTTGTGTCCAATGAATTGTTTTCTTTGATTTACATCTATGAATAAATTGATTTACAAATTTAATTTTTATATCATCAAAGATGCACACTTTGAATATTTAGAAATATTAGTACGAAACCTGTAAAATATGCAAATTCCTGAAACTTACCTATGCAGTTCCTAGGGCCTGCACTAAAAGGAAGATAAACATAAGGATTTCTACCCTGTATGTTTTCTGCAGAAAACCGATCAGGGTCAAATTTCTCAGGGTCAGGAAAATAACTTGGATTACGATGCAGAAAAACTGGTGATAATAATATATTTGTTCCTTTTACAATATGAACACCATCTGGGAAAAAAGATTTCAATCTAAAAACTTTTTATCTGAAGAACAGAAAATGTATATTTATCTATTTAATCTGCATTTGTATTGGAAGAGTAAAATTTGAATTGGAAGAGTAAAATTTGAATCAAGTCATTAAAAGACATTTATGTTTTGAACTTCATGAAATTGAAATTTTGAGGATGAAATTTAAAAAATTAACACCATTCCAATATTCACACTCAAAATTACTGGACTATAATATCAATTTTTATAAGAGAAAACTTACTAGTCTAACATTCACTTACCAATATGGATATCTTCATCTAATAATCTTGCAAAAAATGGTACACTAGGATAAATTCTCAGAGATTCTTTAATCACACATTCTAAATACTTCATATCTTGCAGATCTTTCATTGTAGCTTCACGATCACTGTTTCCAAAAATTTCTTTTAATTCTGCATGTGCTCTTTCCTGTTTTAGAGGATTATTGAAGCACATCTTAGTACACAACTATTAGATTTGCAATATTGTAATGCTTACTTTATTTTACTATTGACTTATCACAAGAGAAATAAAATATAATCATACCTGACATTCAGGGTTCTTTGATAGTAATAATAAACAAAAACTCATTGCTGAAGCAGTAGTGTCATGACCCTAATAACAAAAGTGAATTTAGTAACATTAACTGTAAATTATCATTATTTCAATCTTTCACAGAAATAACCTCACCTCAAACATAAAAGTATCAACTTCTTCACGGATTTCTTCATCGGTTAAATTACCTTCTCCTTTTGTGTACTGCAATAATAAGTCTAAGAATGCTAATTTTTTCTTCTGACCTGTAACGGATGAAGTTTTGTATTATACAATAGTACTGTCAAAATATTGAGGTTTTATTTATCACCTTAGTTTAGTTTTTGTTGTTTTCAGTATTGCATTTATTACATTTATGCATTTTTCTCTTCATTCTCAAGAAGAAACATGTAATTCATATTTTTAGTGTAATCAACTAAATTTTACACAGTTTTGACAATGCTGCATGTTTCTGACCACAGAATGCAAGCTTCAGAGCAGGAGATTCCAGAAAAAAAAAGCCCAAGGGAAGTATCTAAAGATGTCTCTCACCAGCCTGCAGTTTTTAAAAGTTGATTCATTTTATTTGAAGCATTTCTTTGTATTCACATCTGCAATTACTCTCTAAAATCAGGCATATTCCCAGATATATTCAAAACAGGAAAAATTAAGCCATTGCTTAAAAAGGGCAATAGTTACGATCCAATGAACTACAGACCTATCTCCCTGTTATCAGGATTTTCAAAAATTCTGGAAAGACTTCTCAATGATAGACTCAAACAGTTTCTCAATGCAAATAATGTCCTTACAAATGCACAATATGGCTTCAGG